ATATCATTGTGGGAAAATTCTACTACTAGTCCTTCATCACCTTAGACAAAATAGGGTGAATACATCTCATGACACGGATTTGCCTTAGTAACCCGTACCACAGAGAATTTATATAACAAATATAGAGTTTATAAAGGGCAGATTTCAACTCGGATTTTATGAAAATAAGAGCAGGAATCAGGAAGACGACCAAAAGTGGATATGTCTGCCCTTCTATGAAATGAGTCAAAGAAAGCGACCGTTACTAAGAAAATGAAATATCAAGGTGATAATAAAGTGAAAAACAACATTTTTCACCAGTCTGCCGACTCAACACGCGAAGACTGGCAAATTGTATTCCTTGGAAGTTTATCGCATTAAATGCGGCAACTGTAAGCAGAAATATATAGGTAAGACAGGAAAAAACGGCCTACGAATCAAGAAACATCAGACTCTGCAAGAACATGGATATGGGAAGATCCAAAATTGCTGAAAAACATTGACGAACGGAATACGAAATTGGCAGAAAGGCTGGCTGCATACGATGAAAGTACGAGAAAAAGCAAAATCCGAAAGGCCATCAACAAACTGACCAAGAGAAATCTTATGAACAGAAGACTTGAAGGTAGGGTCAGCGAAAACTTTGCATATTGCCTAAACAAACTCGGAGAAGAGCAGGCAGTAAGATCAAAAAAGAAGACAATTGAATCAAAATAACATGTATGCCCTAGTCTCTTGTCTGCCAACCCAAAAACGCTGTGGTTCAACATTGAGCCTAATCAAACAAGCAGTACCACAACATTTGTGGGTTGGCAACAAAAGACTAGGGCATAGGAAGTCATAGACTTAGTATTACGGATAGAGACAGGATATACGCGGTGAAGACTGGATCTAGTTTTGACGAGTTGTTGTGTGTTGTTAAGAATGGCGAGATTCACTGGCAAAGCCGACTACGATGCGGGCGAAACGTCTGGGAATGTACAACGTCCACGGTCCGAATTTCGAAATTAGCATGCATACAATGGACTCCAGACTAGGTGCGCTCCTCTAAGTCTTCCTACCAATATGATCAAGTTGCGAAAACAAGGTCAAACAACCTCTAACATCTTTAATTTCAGGAAAAGAAATCGCAAGGAGACCAGAAA